GACTGAATTACTCTGTATTGAGGATTTCACAGTATGTTTAAAAGAAATTTAAAACTGTTTAGTGGTACAGCATTTTGCTCGTTGTTTTTAAATTAAATATATAAATATACATTTACATGGCCTCCTGGAGCTAACATTAAAAAGTTTTACGTTAAACCGTTTATAATTGAATAAATAACGGTTAACGTTCAACTTATATCTACACTACGTATAACTTATTAAAGTTAGTCCCGGAGGCTGAAGTCCAATGACTTTTATAAAAAACCCCAGTTGATGTTAAAAAAAAATACAGTGATTTGTTTTTAAAAACGAGCAAATATGTACATTAATGTATTAATCATATATTTTGTTGTAAAAAAAGAAGAAACGAAATACTTGTGGACAAGGGATACATAAATTTGCTCTTTTGATTTTTCTAAACAATCCCAAATTAAATAGTATATCATATTATTTGTTTTTTGATAAAATATAGTACAGTAAAATTTAATATGTACTTTTTGTATCTTTGTAAAATAAATGTTTCGCTTGCATATTTGTTTTTCTTTTGTTTTTTTCTAATACAAAACAAATACAAAAAAAATAAAAAACCAAATATAAATATGCATGTGTATATCAAAATTTGTTAGCAAAAAAAAGTAATGAGATGTGGAATATGAATACATAAAGACATGGTGAAATAATAAATCCTCAAGCCGTTTTCCTGTAAAACTTCTATAAAACGAATAAACATACGTTTACGTTCAACTTTTACCATAACTGTTCCTTGTATGCTTTTAGATGTACCTTTCGGGTCTAAAAAATTAAGTGTGTAGCGATTTAATCATACAAACTAGTCCTATAAAAATAGCTTGGGTAGGCCATTCTGAATAAATATGTGTTGAACAAATATGTGTTTACGTTCAACTTTTTAGGCCTGAGTCAGCCTGAGGCCGAGGTTGAGGAGTCGGACTTGGGGGCGGCTCTCTATTTACTACTTAGTCATACCCTGTTTGTGTTTACCTATTTTTATATACATATTGGTCTTTTTTAACTATAAATAATTTGAAACAGTATTTGGGAAACAACCACAGGAATAAAGGGTCTTTTTCTCTCTCTCGATTTCTCTCTGTCAGACTCTCTATACTCTAGGAGAGTAGAGAGTAGTAAATAATAGTATCTACTAGTAGTAGTAGAGAGACAGACAATATGTTTTTTTAATAAAAATATATAAAATAAATTTATTTTGGTTTTGTTTTAAAAAAATACTTCAGAAATGTTTTTTTAATAGCTCTATGTACAGCAAATGAATTCTGTGAACAATGATATATATTTAAAAAAAAAGTGTCATATATCATATACAGTCAAACATATTTTTTGTCTACTTCTTTTATTGTTTACCTCATATTTTGTCCACTTGTTCTTTATTTTATTACCGGACTCGAAACATCTTCATATGACATATTTACCAGTATATATTAGGACACAGCTATATGAATCCACATGTGCTACGGCCTACGTATGCTCCGCTATACTACATACATACATACATACATACATACATACATACATACATACATACATACATACATACATACATACATACATACATACATACATACATACATACATACATACATACATACATTCATACATACATACATACATACATACATACATACATACATACATACACACACACACACACATACACACATACATATATTTATACTACATACATACAAACATAAATACGTACATACTTGTATACACTCACAATGGAAGTGGCTTACCAAGTATGTTTATGATTACCTATAAATGAACTACAATAAAATGTATTTATATATAATAATAGTGGCAATACTCGCTTGTAGGGTGTGAGCGCCCAATTGTTATTCTGGGTGCGGGATACACGGTAGTCCTGGATATTGCCTACTAAGTGATAGATGCGTACTGCCAACAACAAGAATACGTCATCAGTTGAACCACAAATTGATCAAAGTCGATAAAATAATGTATTTACGTTATTTACTATACTCTAATGTATGTACCGCTGTTCTAGAAAGAGCTATAGGGCCCCAATGCTACTGGCCAAATTATTGTCTGCCTTTTGTTTTGTCCAAATTGGGGTCTAAAACGGACCCTCGATCAACAAAAGTTTTTTTTTCATTTTCAAACTGTTTTTGTATATATTTAACCCCCCCCCCCCCGCGCTCCCAAACAATTGAAAACATAGTACAGAAATATGTCTTGTCAATTTTCCCACAAGGCGGTTGTGCTTTCTTGTTTTAGGGCTTATTTTGTGCCCAAGATCTAGAGGGGTGGGGCGAGCGGGGGCCGGGGGGGGGACTTCCGAAAAGATAGTGTCCAATAAGCACCCGGGCATGTTTTGTATCATTCTGAACTACTGAAGCCGAGGCCTTTCAAGTATCAATACCAAATATGTACTCAAGAATCTTTGTACTCAAGAATCTTTGCCGGTTGTAAATATTTAAATTTTAGATCCACAACTATCCTACCCATCCGCCCAATTGGGCTATTTTAGCCCAATTGGGCGGGTCTTCGCACAGTGGATTTTGCCTCTTAGATGCCAGTAGCCGGCTGTTTTGCATAGCCAAACACATTTTAGAAACAATTATTTAAAAACCCACAGCGGTCCCATGTCCATATAATGATAACGGCTGCCCAATTGGGCGAAGAAAAAAAAGGGTAGGATAGACAAGTCTAGGGAGAGAGCGAGACTAATTTGGGCTGGCGCAAAAGCTTTGTGATTGGCCAGTAATAATATCCGAGTCTTGAATGTAATTACTGTGATCATTATTCGAAGTGCTGTTTGTCACTGGTTCGTGACGCTAATGTGCTAATTCTTGTTCACTACTGCAATGTGACATCGAACACTCGTTCAGTGATATGCATTCGCAATCCGGTTCTTACAGATCATTGATATTCTCCATACTGTCCAAGTCGTATGACAGTTTATACATAACACACTTCTCTTTATTGTATATATATATATATATAAAATGATATAAATATGCATAATACATGTGTATTCTGTATTGCTTTTTCTCAGATCCAAAATAATGATGAACCAATTAGTGCTCTCTTGACTATACGAGTCATATAGCTTGAAAATATTGAAATAGTGCGTAAACGAATTGCACTCAATATAGCGATGTAGTCCAACAATTGACAATGGACACTGCATTGAGGCAGGAGCGACCAAAAACTCTCCGAACGCAAAATCAGAACGCAAAATCCGAACCCGTTAAGACCGGGCCTGAGTCGCTGATTGTTTTTTTTTAAACCAAAACATAGAAAACGCCACATACAACAGTTCTCTTTTTAAAAATTTTAAGCTGGGAGTTTAAAATAATATGACTGATAAATTATAATAATTGACGCTAAATACACTTTGACGGTTTTTGACCATTCTGATCTTTTTCTCTATTTTCTGATCTTTTTCTCTTTTTCAATTCCTTTTTTGCAAACCATGTATTTTGTGCTTCTTTTCTATTTATGACCCGCCCAAAGGCACCCGGTGAAGGACTGAAGGGTCAGAGACTCAGAGCCTCGTCAGTGGGTGTAGGTAGTGTATTTACAATTGAGCAAAGTTTACCGCTATTTTTAATATTTAAACTTTTAAGCCCTAAAGGTATACAGCTCAGACTCCATCAGAGGCAGACCGAGGGCGGCAGGGTCCGCATAAACAGGTTTATCGATTGTCGACTCCGGACTGACTCCGGACCCAGGACAATCCCTAAATGCCCGGCCTCACCGCCTCACGTCTTTTCTAGAGAAGTTTTTTTAGAATTTATAAACGTTCCAAATGAACCAAATTTATATATAAAAAACATAGCCTTTACAATCTTCTACATAGAATGCAAATATAAAACGTATATTCGACTGAACCTCAGACACAAAATTTATATTTACAAACATAGACGGGGGATTTCTGAAAACGTTTAATGTTTATAGCTTTTGCAACTTGGCCTGCCCTACTCTCAAATATTAACCTTATTACTCCCAAGATTCAGAAACTGGTGCTTTTTTAAAAACAAATTCGTAGTATGTATTGTAATTGCTTTTTGGTTTTTCAAGACATTTATATAGAAAAATATATATATATAGCCCTGTTTGAAAAAAAATCAGACGGCCATATACTTTTTAAAAATAAATCTTTTATGTATCTAATTTTATATGTACTTAAGTCTGAACTCTGGAGTCCGACTAAATTAAATACTCTCTGGGGGGAACTTGGACGACTGGACGTGTGTGAGAACTGAGAACTGAGAGAACTCGGCACATGCCTTATAACGGCGCATATGGGCCATAACTCATCGAGACATTCAGTTCGCAAGTCATGGCCCGCCCCCCCTCTATTCTCTCTATTAATGGAGAGTAGAGAGAGAGTAGGGAGAGAATTAAAATATTCTACTTTGGTTCGGACGTATGTACGTCCGAAGGAATGTAATTTTTTTAAATAGATAAATATCAATGGTCCCAGATTTATGTGCAGCCATTCGCTTCATATATGTTTTAAAAATAGTTTGTTGGGGACCTTGGGGGACCTTGGGTGAACAAGCGATTAGCGAGGTGTATACCGGTGTTGTTGTGTTTAGTATTATAGCTGCATTAAAAGCGAGCTCTATTTGTTTTTCTATTTTGTATCTTTAACTAGCCTTCTTGTGTAGGTTTACATACTATATAACATGTATATACCTGAATGAATATCACTTTAAAATCGGTTAGCCACTCTTGTTATTGTAGACTTTACGTCGTTTTTTTCTAAGACTATAGTCTGAACCGATTCTAAAGTTTACGTGACGAAGTAGCCTCGACCAATACTCTACTCACAATGTCTCGAGCTTTCACAATGTCGTTATTGACTGATTAAGAGAATAAGTGAGCAACAAGCGACAACTGGAAAGATACTTGAAAGCATGAGCGACACAATTGAATACAACTTCACGGCTGAAGTTTTTGCCTTACATGGAAGGTTGTACAAGATATTTTTAGCGGGTCTTTCATTAGCTTGTCTATTTTTGTATCACTAGGGGTTTCATCTGTTTATTATTATTACAAGAAGAGTGTATTCTGGCCTAAATGTCGCCTTGCTGTACAATATTTATTAATATTGTCACTGTCCCAATAACGACTGTATGCGGGATAACCTTGCAACAGATATTACAATATCTTTCCCCGATTCAAGTCTCTAGTTGAAGCGCGGCCAATCAATCACCTGGCAACGGCGATTCACCGCAAATATCACTTGACATATAATACGAAAAGACCAGTCTCTACATTTTAATTTTCTGCAATTCCTAAATTATCTTCATATTCCCCTCTCCTTGAGAATCGACGTTTATACTGCTTTCGCAGCGCGTGATTCTGCATCACCGCCTGCCAGGATCAATTCGAAGGCACCCGAAAGCTCCATAAGCCTTTTTTGGAACTCCAACTGCGATTCGAAAAAGTCGTTAAATGAGGCAAAGTCTCTTGAAGACTGATAAACGTACAAGTGGTATGTTAAGACTCAAGGAGAGAACTTGAACCATGCGCATACCTGCTGCGCACATTTAATGTGCATCGCACACACTGTCGTGCACTTTGGCAACGGGTTGCAAGATTACATAAATCAACATTGATGAACCAAATAAATGACAAACATACCTCCTGATGCACTTTGTTTCTTAGTTTGAGTACTAATTCGTCGATAGCTTGGGATTTTCCCAGAACCCGCGCATACACGTCTAACACCATATTGGTCACCTCTATAAGCAAGGACGAGTATCTCGGATTATTCACGTGCTTCAACAGAAACACGAGCAAAGGCGTTAGCGCCGCTTCGTCTCTACCACTGATCGCAATCTTCAGACCATCTCTGTGTGCAAGTTCTTCAATGAGTGATACGATGATTACCGGTCGCCCGTGAACAAGTGCGGCATCGAGAGCGAGGCCGTATTGAAACTTCTTCATGAAGACATCGTACTCTGCCAATCCCTTCTTTCTGCGCACTTCGACTCGGAAGTCGTCCTGATATTTTTTTAAAAGCAAATATTCGTACGATCTATGAGCTAAATTAGAGCTTGATGTTTCTTGTGTTTCGTGATTCCATTGAAAATACGGAATTGAAATAGATTACACCTACGCGCCCATCAGGTTTGTGCAAGCCTCTCCCAAAGAGAATCTGGATACCAATACGAACATACCTCTGAGGCTTTCGTATCTTGTCCACGCTTAAAGTATTGTTGTGTACCTCCACGCGGCGCTTTTTTCGCCTTATCGCCAGCAAGGCCCTTGTTGGTGATAGACTTGTTTGGTTTGTGGCGGATCGATAAGGTTCCATCGGCCATACCAACAACAAGATGCGTGTCCTCAGGCTGAAAAGAGACAATATTAATAGTGTCAAGACAATTAGCATAATAGCAGGCCCACCCGAATACTTGTAGCAAGAATAAAGAGCAAGCTGTATTAGACATGACACTTGTCACTCACACAACAATTTGTCCAGATTTCGATTGTTGTCGGTTTACGATGCATGTGAGTTCTGATTCAACATTATAGTTTGAACGGGATAGACTTCTCAAACTATAACACATTTTATGAACCATTCACCTGCAAATCAGAGGTATATTGGACGGATATGACGATCCGGCAGTGTAAAGCTCAGGTAACTTACCGACATTGCAAGGGACATGACGGGGGCGGAGTACTTGATGCTGTGTACCACTTTGTAGTTTTTGACATCGTATATCTTGACATGATGATCAAGAGAGCCCGACAATAATCGATTCGACGAACCATCGAATCCCAAACTGGTCACAGTCTTCTGGTGATTGGAGAAGGAGTGCACCATGCGCCCGCCCATCAACATATCCCAAACCTGCGCAATGCAAATGAAAAGGGTGTACCAAAAAATTTTGATAAGTTGGCCGGAAGTCTATGTTCAGAAGCCGTCCCAGCATAACACTGCAAATATGCAAAACCTCTTACACACGTTGAACAAATAATAAGGCTTCATTCAATATGACCTCAATGCATGCATTCACCTGGCTCGGCAAGTCTACACTCCTGTGCATATCAGTTACCGTCAGGAAACACATGGTGAGGCAGGCATACACTATAACTCGAGTACGCTTACAAGAACACATACCTTGATTGTGTTGCCGCCGCACGACACGACCATGCCGCCACCAGGGAACATGAGTACATCCTCGACAGGTGCACCATGGTCCATAGTCATGGAACACTCGGATGTCCTCGTGTCCCAGAGTTTGACTGTGTGATCGTAGCTGCCTGACAACACTAGATCGTTGCTCGCCGGGTTGACAGCCCCACATCTCACATAATCGGAGTGACCTGAATCGTGTCACAGTGAGCGGTAAATTGAGCCAATTAAGGCGCTAAACGTAAAACTACATTGTTATAGTCACATACAGACTTCAAGACGTATAAAGCATACACATACAATGCTCTTTTGAAGCTGTGGTCATAGGGAGCGCCCGAGAGTTTTGGAGGGTGTACCTGCGATTTTTGTCTCACTATTCAAATACGAGCCAGACAAACTGTTGCCAACGTTCTGAGCAATTTTCAACATCATTCGCAAGTATGCGATATATTTAAGCACACGACTTAACCTTTAATTGCACTCCTAAACCACGAATCGCACATAAGCTTATATGACATAGTTCCTTGTACAAACCTTAAGCAGAGTGTCTCCTCTATGCGTGTTTATGATCCAATCCAAAAGTTGTCCGAGCAGTTTTCAACATCACGCGCAAGTATGCGCGTTAATCAAGCACACTACTTAACCATTAATTGCACTCCTAGTCCACGAATCGCAAATAAGCTTATATGACATACTCCTTGTACAAACCTTTTAAGCAGAACGTCTCCTCTCCACTGGGAATATCGAATCCTCTCACAGTCATATCATCGGAACCCGTGACTACTCCCGTGAAGGATGCAAACCTCGTCCACCTTACAGGTCGTATGTGTGTTGAGAACTGACGAAATACCTCTCGAGAGGACATGCTGAATATCTGCACTAGTCCGCTATCATCTCCAGCGACCATAAGTTTACCATCGTCACGAATGTGTGGGCTGTGAGCGACATCTTTGAACCGTGACACAGTTTTCTTTACCTGTTGATTTTCAGTTTGTGGGGATCGAGATGGATGAACGAGTGATGTACAGTTTGCGGCTCCGATGCAAAGATATTCTCTAACGATCAAAAGACTAAGACAAAAGAATCCAGGAAACAATATTTACGAAATATCACGTTCGTTTATATGCTACGAAACTTAAGGAAAATCCTGTACTTTTCTTCCTCTTCGAATTGTGCTTACTGACTACTCACATCAACAGTACACAGGCAATTCTGTATATCGACCGACACGAGATATCTATACCTTGTTAGTATTTGCCGCAAAAACCTGAACTCTAGTTGAACTACTTATGGCAAAGTCATGGGGTTTTGCGTTGCAGAAAGATATCGAGCTGATGGCACCATATTCCTTGACTGTGATTGGAAACTGCAATAACAAAAGGTGATACGTAAGTTTAAATGTTAAGCAGGCTAGTGTTGTAGTGTGAAAGTAAAATGGCGTACAACGCTGATTCTCCACTGGTGCCTCACTTGATAGACAGTTGTATGAAGATTGTCGCGAAGCAGACAGAACAAAAGGTCATGGTCTTCAGGATATGCGAGAGTTATGCGCATACATATGGTGCAACTTGCGCTCTCACACTATGTCATGCGGTTACGGAGAAACAATCTGCTCTCATATGTTCACGAATTGTCCCCAACGCAAGAATGTGTGATTTGTCCTTCTGCAATACAACCCTCCTTAACTGCCATTCTACACGCTTGCGTCATATGAATTTACATACTTCACAGCGGGAGAGCGAAAATTGAAAATATATAGTCAACAATGAAATCGCTAAACAAACAAGAGCCAAAATACTTGCTTCGTAGTAGACGGCTGCGCAACACACTTAACATAGCCCACTAAGACGTATACCTCCCATATTATATCAGCACATATTGAAGCACATCATGGCCACTCTATGACTTACACGAAAAACCATATATATATTTATATTAAAATATGTGAATTTCAAGTTATGTAGAGAATAGCTTATAAAATTAAAAATCTATATATACTTTATAAATATATATATATATATATATATCATTAAGTATATACATTTATGCTTATTTAAACACAAACACACACACAAACAGACACACACACACATACAGATACACACACACATATATATATATATAAATAATATAAAATACATAAAATACACATACACTTACATATATATAGATATAGTATTACATATATTGTATAAAATATAACTACACACACACATATATATATATATATATATATAGATTAATACATATGTATACACACACACACGCACACATATATATATATATATATATATATATATATCTATATAGATACATATATATATACATAAATATCATATATATATATATGTGCATAGATACATAGATACATACATATATATATATATACAAACAAATGTGTCTGTCAGCGTGTATGTGCTCGAGTGTGAATGTGCATATATATATATTTATACGTATATATATATATATATATATATAGTAGTATATACATATGTATATATTATATATTATATATTATTATTATATATATATATATACGTAAT